TATTAAAAATATTTCAAAATCATTATAACTCATACTCCGTATATTATTTTGAATTGATAATGTATTTAAAAAATTATATTAAATAATAAAATCAAAACATATAAAAATCTTTAGTATTAAAGTTAAATTAATTTTAAGTATAAGAAAAAACCTTAGAAAAATATAATATTATAAAAGTATATTGAAAAAAATTAAAAAAAAAATAAATTTTAACCGGTCCACTGGTCCGGACCGAAACCCGGTGGACCGGACCGGACCGGAACCCGAATAAGGAAAAATTGGGGACCGAAGACCGGCCTGAATTAGGACCGGTCCGGACCGGTCCGGTCCGGTTTTGGCCGGGTTTCGGGTCGTTCAGGGTCCGGACCGAATAATGCACACCCCTAATACTTATAGTAATTACTGGAGACGGTGTACTCCGCACCATATGTTGGTCCATAGACCCCTCGTGTTGCTATATACCCAGGTATGAAACCTCTGACTCTACCACCATTATTATAGACTGTTGAAGCTACAGCTCCTTGAAGGCCAACGTTGCCTCCTCCGTAGGTAAGCCTGATTTTTCGCCTTACCAATTCCCGTCCTAGATCAACCGTTGTAGCTATAAACCTTGGATTGCTACCAAAGCATGACTACCAAGTAGACCAACAAATCTTATGGTATTAGAAAGAGCTCGAGAAGTTCCTTCCATAATGTGAGAATGTGAGACGCTCTTGCCACAATTTGATATATATAGACTCTAAAACTGGACCATTGATGGAAAAGTAATTATCACCAGCCTAAAAACTAACAGGAAAGTGGATTCGCTCTAGACAAGAATGTACTCGCCAATACTACAGTCTGCTGACGACATGACATATTGTGTAACACCCCAACCCGCATAACCCGAACCAACGGGTTAGCGAACCGGGTTGTTACTAAATTGGTATTCGCATACATAATTTATATAAAAAAAATAATAATCAACTGAATAAATTATAAAATTCATCTGTGAGAGTTCGAAACTAAACCAAAATTTATCGGAGTAATAAAACAAGTCCAAACGTCGCGGAAGCATAATGAAACCAAAGTAACGTCCAACAGTCCATATAACCAAATAAAATAATGTAGTTTAATTATTTAAGTAATAGGAGCCATCCACGCCGCACCACCACCTCACTGCCCTCCGGGTTGCCCATCAAAATCTGTGTTCCTACCTGCGTGCAGTCAAACAACAACGACTACACGCTCAGCGAATTGCTGAGTGAAAATATACCTAAGCTAGCATTAACTCACAGAATAGCACCACGTTAGCATACAAATAACAACAGCATGTGATCGCGGAAAAAAACAGCTTAAATAAACATATTTATTTTAACACCTTTCATTTGAATATCATGTCCTTATTTTATTCCACATCAACTACTTTGAGTCATGGCACCCCAAGCGATGCTATAAAAGGGCCAGCTCAGAAACCCAAAGGAGATTCACTTTGGGCGGGTTGAAGCCCTTGTCCCTGCGATGCCAGGACAGGTCGCGGACTTCCGTACGTACGTTTTTAACCCAAGACTCCCGGGGGTGCAACGACGCCCTGCAAAGGCCACTTCCTAGCATATATTATTGGTGATTCAATAAGTCAATCTAATTCAGGCCTGCTTAATTATACTAGGTGGCATAATTCCTATTTATCATTCATAATCCACAATATTCACCAACAAGATCAATTTAATTTAAATCTTAGTTCACAATTCACAACAAGTCACGTAACGGCCTATCCGGGCCAAAGACCCGCGATTACCGTCATGCATAATCAAACAACCCGAATTGCAATTAACCCAACTTACCTGCGCGGAGTCGAGACCAAGGAATCGATCCTCGGGCCCACTGCCCCTGCCAGAGCAGTACCATTCACCACCGGATCAGCCGACACCTGCCGGACCGACCCGACAGCCCCAACCCGCTGCCCGTTCAGGCAGCCCCACTCAACCGGCCCAACGCTGCCGGCCCAACGGACCAATGCAGCCGGCCTAACAGCCGGACCCACCGGCCCAACACCCCGGACAGTCGGTCCCACGACCTGGTCAGCCCCAACTGCCCAAACAGCCCTAATTGAATCTAAACCAACCTGTTTGCACAAAAATCAATCCCAATTGAAACCCTAATTAACCCCATTTAACCAATTGGGTCCAAATTAGACCCGCCAGAAACTGCCCGTACGCCGGCCGTAGCCACCACCGGCCAGCCGCTGTCCAATCACCGGAAAACAGCCCCCAACACAACCCCAATCCAATCTAATGCACATTCAACCACAAATTTCACAATCAAACACAAAATTGCTACCACAAGATCCTAAACTACGAATTAATGACAACTATAGGTATAGGAATCACGAATCACCTCGAATTATTGAAGAATTAGGAACCAAATCGAAAGAGAGAAGCTCGCCGCTGCACTCCCTGTTGCGGCCGAATCTACCGTGCGACGGGGAAGGAAGAGCGGCGACGGCGGCTAAGGCGTTCGGCGAGGGCGGCGTCGGCGGAGCTCGGCGGCGCTGCTGCTGGCTGACGGAACGACGAAGGAGAAACGGACGTAGAGCAGAGATACGAACGGTAAAAAACGGATGGATGGTAAGTCTCGTAACCCCCTTCATATTTAATATAAAATTAAATAGAATTTTAGGGTCCGTTTACACTTCCTAACCAGTCAGGATGTATTTAAGCCCAATTAGCTTATTCGGCATTCGTATCTTAGGCCCAGCAAGTCCGATTCTCAATTCGTTCGCACGGTCGGGTTCAGAACAGCGAGCCCTACAACGTAGGTCAACTCTCATATTAAATACGCAAATGAGAGAATAATCTTCATTTTTACCGACTTCGTAACTAATTAATTATATAAATTAATTAAAAAAGCCAACCCGGGTTTTGAGGCGTTACATTTCTCTCCCCCTTAAAAGAATTTCGTTCTCGAAATTACCTAAATCATCATCGCAGAGGAGGTGAAGATACTGAACTCTCATGGACTCCTCGGTCTCCCACGTAGCCTCTTCGACAGCATGGTTACGCCACAAGACTTTGACTAGAGGCACCCGCTTATTCCTCAACTCTTTCACTTCTCGTGCTAGAATCTGCACCGGCTCCTCCTCATAGGTCAAGTTCTCGTCCAGAGTCACCGCGCCTTCAGGTAACCGATGAGTCAAATTTGATCGGTAACGTCGGAGCATAGACACATGGAACACGTTGTGAATCTTGCTTAGCTCAGGTGGTAGCTCTAACTGATAGGCTACGGGGCCAACCTTCGCAGTGATGGGATAAGGCCCAATGAAACGAGGACTCAATTTTCCTCTCTTTCCAAAACGTAGAACCTTTTTCCAAGGTGACACCTTAAGAAAAACCTTATCCCCCACTTCAAAAGAAATCTCCTGACGCTACAAGTCCGCATAAGATTTTTGCCGATCTGATGCTGTCTGCAAACGCTTGCGGATGAACCGTACCTTTTCTTCTGTCTCACGAACAAGCTTGGGACCTTTTAACCTCACCTCGCTCAATTCAGTCCAGCACACTGGTGTTCTGCACCTCCTCCCGTACAGTGCCTCGTATGGGGCCATTTGAATACTCACCTGATAACTATTATTATAAGCAAACTCCATCAACGGTAAGTATCGCTCCCAATTTTGCCCAAAGTCAATCACACATGCTCTCATCATGTCCTCAAGTATCTGTATCACACGCTCAGATTGACCGTCAGTCTGAGGGTGGAAGGCTGTGCTCAAGTTTAACTTTGTACCCAAGGCATGCTGGAGTCCCTTCCAGAACTTTGAAGTGAAACGGGGGTCTCTGTCGGAGATAATGGATTCAGGTACCCCATGCAACCGAACAATTTCGCGGAGGTACAACTCTGCTAACTTCTGTAGTGACATATCCCGTCGAACAGGTAAGGAATGCGCAGATTTCGTAAGACGATCCACGATGACCCATACAACATCATTCTTACGGGGAGACAAGGGCAGCCCAATCACGAAATCCATCGTGATACGCTCCCACTTCCACTCAGGAATAGAAGGCGGATGCAACAATCCCGATGGTACTTGATGTTCGGCTTTGACCTACTGACATGTCAAGCATCGAGCTGTAAACTCACAAATTTTCTTCTTCATCACAGGCCACCAATAGTTCCCCTTTAAGTCGTGGTACATCTTGTTACTTCCCGGATGTATAGTGTATGTTGACTCGTGAGCCTCACGTAACAGCCGCTCCCTCACGGCCCCGCATGGTACCACAAGACGGCTGCGGAAAAACAAGATTCCATCAGAACCAACAGTAAACTCTGGTCTCTTCCCACTAGAGACAAGGTCCCGTGTCATGCGACATAACTCGTCATCCTCCTGAGCATTCCGGATTTCTGTATCCAACGTTGGTTGTATATGGAGTTCAGCTATCAGCTTGCGGCTCAAGGCGTCAGCCACCACATTAGCCTTGCCCAGGTGATACTCGATGGTGAAATCATAGCCCTTGAGAAGTTCTAACCACCGCCTCTGTCTCAGGTTCAGATCCTTCTGGGTCAACAAATACCTCAAACTCTTATGATCTGTATATATAAGAATCTTTTCACCGAAGACATAGTGTCGCCAGATTTTCAAGGCAAAAACATTTGCTGCTAGCTCCAAATCATGAGTCGGATAATTACCCTCATGGGGTTTCAGCTGCCTCGAGGCATAGGCAACCACCCTACCTTCTTGCATGAGTACACAACCCAATCCACAAAGAGATGCATCACTGTAGATCGTGTACTCACGACCCGGTTCTGACTGGATTAGCACCGGGATTTAGTCAAGCACTCTTTCAGCCGATCAAAACTGCTCTGGCATGCGTCTGTCCATGCAAACCTCACATCCTTCCGTAGGAGTTTAGTAAGAGGGGAAGCAATCGCGGAGAAGTCTTTCACGAACCGCCGGTAGTACCCCGCCAGTCCGAGGAAACTTCTCACTTCCCTAGCATTACGGGGAACCTTCCAGTCAACTATGGCNTTTAGTCAAGCACTCTTTCAGCCGATCAAAACTGCTCTGGCATGCGTCTGTCCATGCAAACCTCACATCCTTCCGTAGGAGTTTAGTAAGAGGGGAAGCAATCGCGGAGAAGTCTTTCACGAACCGCCGGTAGTACCCCGCCAGTCCGAGGAAACTTCTCACTTCCCTAGCATTACGGGGAACCTTCCAGTCAACTATGGCAGAAATCTTACTCGGGTCAACCTTCACCCCTTCAGCGGAGATCACGTGACCTGAGAAAAATACCTCCTCAAGCCAAAACTCACACTTGGGCAACTTTGCATAGAGTTCCTGCTCCCTCAGGATGGTTAATACTTTTTGCAAGTGGCACGCATGTTCCTCGGCATTCTTTGAGTAAACGAGGATGTCATCGATGAAGACCACGCCGAATTGATCCAAGTACGGCCGAAAGACACTATTCATTAGATCCATAAAGATAGCAGGGGCGTTAGTGAGTCCAAAAGGCATTACGGTGAACTCATAATGTTCGTAACGCGTCCGGAAAGCTGTCTTCGGTATGTCTTCCTTCTTTACTGGAATCTGATGATATCCGGACCTTAAGTCAATCTTCGAGAACACCCTGGCTCCACGTAGCTGATCAAACAAATCATCAATGCGTGGTAATGGATAACGGTTTTTAACAGTCACCTTATTGAGCTGTCGGTAGTCAATGCAAAGCCTCATAGACCCATCCTTCTTTCGCACAAAAAGGACAGGTGCGCCCCAAGGGGAGACACTTGGGCAGATGAATCCCCTATCCAGCAGCTCCTGTAATTGCACCTTTAACTCCTTCATCTCTACTGGAGCCATGTGAAAGTTTTATTCAGCTTCCGCAACATTAAATTACTCTGTTACTATTTTGAATTATTTATTATGAAATAAAGTTTTAAATGTATGAAATATTTTGAATGTCTACGAATACCAAGTTTATACTTTAGTCCGAAAGGGGCTACAGAACTAGACGGATTAGGGTATTACAGGTAAACCCTCCCATCGCTGGGTACCCATCGATGTTTCAAAGTCCCCATCGCTGGGTGAGGGCATTCTGCCTTGTGTTAATGTTGAACCAAGGCTTGTACAACGATGGGTGTGTTGACCCTTGTGTTTTGATAATGACAGCCTTATATGTGGGATGAGCTTTGGATCTTTGAATCAAGTCACCTGGATAATTTCGTAGGAATTATCTTGCAAGTCGGCTTACGAGCTCCAAGACAAGAATTGGCTTACGAGCTTCAAGACTAGAATTGGTGTTAAAAAGGTTTCTAGATCTTTTACATTTTTTTAAGTCTTAGTTCTTGTTAAAGTGTGTGGCACATGTTTATTCTTCAAAATTCTCTATTTCTCTTAAAGGAATTCTTTCTTTATTGTTATTTAAAATGTTTTTCGAAGTATTCTTTCAAAACTGTGTTTTCCCAGGCTTTTATTCGAATAAATGATGATTTATTCGAATAAGAGGGCTTTCTTCAAATTGGATTTCAATCTGCTTTATTCGAATAAATTCCAATTACAAGTTTTCTTTTGTTCTGCAAACTATTCGAATAAACGGACTTTTATTCGAATAAGTCACTGCCAGACTTTCATTTCATTCTGGTTTATTTGAATAAATGTCTGATTTATTCGAATAACTCCTGTTTTTCCATTGCACTTTTATTCGAATAAGTAGCAGATTTAGTCGAATAAATAGACAGTTTTCACAACTAACGGTCAGTTTTTAAATTCCCGTGGAGGTTTCTTCGACCCTATCCATATATACTTTATCTAGTTCCGGTTTTCAAAGTACAAGAACATCCAAGAACATTTACAATTGCTATCCTTTGAGAATTTCAAAGAGTTTTATTGAATCTAATCCTCCTACTCAATTCATTCAAGCATTTTCTTGAGCAATCCTTCAAATTGAAGTTTGGAGAGTCATTTGTTCCATACACTATAGGTTTGGTTGTAATCTACAACATATACGCTCTTGTTCGAAGAGTCAATTCCGCTGTGCACTTTGGTTTGTAAGTTTTTAAATTATTAAAAAACTTGAATTTGAAACAATTCAAGTTTTTGGATTGAAATCCAAAGTCTTGTAAAATCAAGACTTCGATGGAAAGGTTAGAGGCTTGTGAAATCAAGTTCTCGAGTTGTATTCGGATTGTTAAACTCCGTTAAGTTTAACAAGGATTAGTGGAATCTCGGGCACGTTTTCCTTGGGGACTGGACGTAGGCATTAGGCCGAACCAGGATATATTGTTATCTCCTCGCTTTCGTTATTTCCGTTAATCTTTTATTTTATTCCTGCGCTTTTTCTTCTTTAAACGAAAAATTTTATTATTTTCGTGAACACCTCTATTCACCCCCCCTCTACAGGTGTGAAAGGCGTCTAACAGTGGGAAATCCCCATCGCTGTGTGGCATGGTTCTGGAGTCTAGCTGAGCTAAAGGCTGCTTACCCATCGATGGGTAATATCTCCCATCGCTGGGTGGCATGATTCTGGAATCCGGGATCACTTACCCATGGATGGGTAATATCTCCCATCGCTGGGTGGCATGGTTCTGGAATCCCGGGATCACTTACCCATGGATGGGTGATATCTACCATGGCTAGTCCAGAACCATGGCCTAGCTGACCGGCGCTGAAACCCGACCGAAAAATGCAAAGTTCTCCAAAATAAAAACCAAGTGTTTAAAACACTTATTTAATGTATTTGGCTAAGAAATCAAGTGAGACACTTTAAAAACCACGTCATTTGAGTAAAAATCACGGCTAGCCAAGTTTATGCTATTTCGCATGGTTTTGCCAAACGACCAAAAACAAAAGATGGTTTTTAAAGTGTTTGTTGGAGAACTATTTAAATATGCCCAGAAGTAAAAACCAATCATAAAGTATTGAAAACCACTTGGTTGGTTCGGACGCCAAAAACCAATGCCGATAACCGAATGCCGAACGCCGGTTTCTGAAAACCGAATGCCGATTTTTGAAAGCTGAACGCCGGAAGGCTTGGTTTTTGGTTTGGGCGAACACCAAGTGTTTTTAATGTGTTAAACATGTTTGAAAAACATTTTGATGATATGTGAAATGCAATGAAAAGAGTTTTAGCTTAAAGAGCCAAAGTGCAAAGGTTGGGTCGGTCTTGATCACAATTGTGACCGACTCAACGACACTAAAACTATGGTCTTCGATCTTGGTCTCTTTTAGCTCTTGTTCTTATCTTCATATCTCGCCTTGTATATTCAACACTTTGTCTTGTTCACAGCGGTTTAGCATTATCAAAACCTGTCATAAAAACGAACACGGCTTTAGTACGAAAACGTGAGAAACCCGTGTTTCAACACGGGTCATCGAGGGAGTAAGACCAGTATTTTACCGGTTGGATTTACCTCCTGAGCTTCAGAAGATACATGACGTATTTCACGTGTCTATGTTTAGAAGATATTGGTCACATCTATCACATGTTTTATATTTGAGGAGCAGTCACCCTCGACGAGAACCTCACTTACGAAGAAGAACCCGTATAGATCCTACCACGTGAAGTAAAGAAGTTGAGGAACAAGACATATCCTAGGTCAAGGTGCTTTGGCGAAACCACACAGTGGGAGAAGCAACTTGGGAGACCGAGGAGTCTATGCGGGCTCAGTATCCCCAACTCTTCAGTAACTAATGACTCAGGTAATTTCGAGGACGTAATTATTTTAAGGGGGAGAGAAATGTAACGCTCCCTAACCCGGCCTATCAAGATTAATTATTTAAAAATAATTAATTAATTACTGAGACGGATTTGATGCAATTTTGAAATATTATTCGTTTGACCAAAAGGTTTACCCAAGTCGTTTTGAACCTCTCCTCCCCCTTTTATGTACAAAAAGTGCACAAGTTTTATTATAGATATTCTAGAGTAAAAAAAAGAGTAATATTCAAAACACAGCAGGAGCAGTTACAAGAATGAATTCTCTAAGAGACAGAGTTGTATCTACACCACGTCATTATCCATAGCATGCTGAAAATTCCCAACACCTCAAAGGTGTTCCTTTAAGAATAGCACTTAGAGGACTGTGAAGTACCAAAAAAATATAAGCATTCATCAAAAGCAACGCTACCAAAGCGTTTCACAGCATTCATTAAAGCAAGCAATAACAAAAAACAGCAACAGAAAAGAGATTGTCACCCAAAACATAACAAGGAAAGAACGGTAGAACTACCCTTCAACCGGAAAGTATTGATAGCAAATGTTTGTAAAAGATTACCAGTCTGCCAAATCATTAAAGTGTTTGCCTTCAAAGTTCCTGTTGTTAAGCTGGATAAAGGGCTCAAGTGGTTCTTCTCTTTCAGCATATGCCTTTACAAAGCCCTGTGAAACAAGCATTTTAAATATTAGAACATAATAGGGAAGATCATTGTCATTTGTTGGAAGTTCCTTTTGCCAAATTCATCAATTTGAGCCAGAATTAACTTTCCAAAATTCAAAGGAACATTGTTCTTGATCTTGTACAACAGCATTCCCATGGCTTTAGTGACTGTGTTTGTATGGGTGGTGGCCATTCAGTGGCATGCAGCAACACGCTGCAATATGGAGTGAGAACGCTTGAGAATAGATGAAGGAACCTTGTTGGTTGTGTGATGACTACTTCAAGCCCCATTTGTGAGCTCCTTCCACATTACAGCCTCACTTACAACCACATCTTGCACATCATCCAAACCCAAAAAATTGTTCACGGTAGCAGGACATAAGTCATAGTACTTTCGATGAACAAAACATTTTTCACAAAGCTCATCAGACGAACACACAAAACCATCATCCAAGTTACAGTAAAATTCATGAATCACTTGTTTCATAAAAGAACCATCAAGAGTAATAGATTTCAACAAATGCATGGTTTCCAATAGGGGATGAAATTTGTTTTGAGAGTAGTCATTCACATCGATATTTCATTGAGGAAGGATATGCTTTTGCACAATGAAAGGGATAAATGATTTTGCTATAGAGGAAACAAAGAGAGGTCGTGAGGACTTCCCTGAGCTAAGGTCAAGATCTTTCTTCTTCAAGGAGGAGGAGATCTTGGAGGTGGCATGTTAATTTTTGGTGATGCTTTTACCTTTCTTGGGACAAGGAGAATCATCACAAAGTTCATTCTTAGTTTTAGCATTATTTTTTGACCATCTACAGGATTAGATGCAACCTTCTTGGACTTCTTCTTGTTGAGTTGGGTAGTTTCCCCCTTTTCAGTAGATTTCAGGATAGGAATCTCGGAGATGGAAACTATTGGTTCTTCGTCCAACATCTTAAAGAATTCTTCATCAGAGTTCATCCTTGTCTGTGCTCCCCCAACCTCAGCCTTCTCTTCCTCTTTAGGTGTCTTGTCACAAGGTGATATATCTTAGCTTAGGTTTGAAGGGGAGGAGAGGTGGCCGAATTTATGGAGGGAAGGAGAAGGGAAAATGGTGTGGGTTTAAAGAGGAGAAGTTAAGGGAGAAAAGGGGATGTTTGGGATTGTGGAGGGTAAGGCCGAAATGGGGAGAGAAGAAAAGGAGAAGGGGTGCAAATACCAAGTTGGTTTTAAGAGATATAACACACTCTTATCCTCACTTGGGGTTTGAATCTAGAATTCAATCAAGATATTACACACTCAATCAAATATCTAGAACCTAACACTCACACTTAAGGGAACCAACCTTAAGATATAGAAATTAGGATTTAAAATAGAATACAACAAGTGTATTACTATCACAAAATAAAATGATACAATGCTGCAATACCAAGGCCTAGGGCCGTATATAAACACACCAAAGAGAAGGGAGGGGGGGGGGGACTTCCTAGCTACATTCATTCAAATAATGAGAAAATGCCAATTAAGGAGGCGCGTAGTGCTAGGCTGGACTTTTCTTTTGAATGATGGGTTTGGGCTCTCGCCCAAATTCAATCTCTTTTTCCAAACTTGAACTTCAATTCAGCCTTTTGCTACACTTTTCTTCAAAAAATAAGAAATCTGAAAATTTGGGTTACGAAAAATAAAATGAAAATAATATGTAAAAAAAATGATTAAAAACTACTATTTATGAGAGAAAAATAAAAGATTGTAAAGAAAAATAAGAATTAAAATAAAACTAAGCTAAACAACTAAAAATTAAACTCTAAAATTATTAAAATTGCATAAAAAGAATAAAAAGAACTAACCCAAAAATGACTTACCATCTTCTCCCTAGTCAGCTCACTCCTCATTCCTATTATTGTTTCTCTTGCTTCTTGATCAAGTGTCAGATCACTAGGGTCCCTTGTTCTCTAGATCTCTTTATGTATTTGTATAAGATTTCTCATGCAGGACACATTGAGTCGAAGTCATACTCCAATGTGTCAATCTTGAATGACTGTGGTCCTGTGACGTTCCCATCTTCGCTCAAACATTGGAAATCAAAGTTCGTCTTCGTTTCTGGTTTCCCCAGGGATCGACACCCTTTCTTGGCAAGGTTTCCTGGGTGTCGTTCCTTCATCCGTCATCACCGCCCCAAGGACACCATGTAGCTTCTCAAGTACACGGAGAAGCTTTTGGCGGAATGTCGCCCTAACCCTCTTAGTGTGTACGATAGTTGTACGAAGGTGAACCTGGGCAGAGCAGGGTTCCTCATCTCGCTTGACCGCCAATATGAGCTGGCCGAGGCGTTCAGGGGGGAACACCGAGGCGTGGCCTCGAAAATATAGAAGCCAGCACGTTGGATGAGTAGGAGTCCGATTCCAAGGAGGCACAGGATGACCATCAGATCGAGGATGAGCAAATGCATCCTTCTGATCCCGAGGAGGAAAGTGATACCGAATCGTCCTCCGAAGACGGAAATGATGAAGGTTTGTATTTTACCTTTGTCTTCCTTATTTAACAAATATCCTCCGACGGCTAACCTTTGTTTTCCGTTTCAGGTGAGATGCACCGTGCTCGCACTATGAAGAAGTTGGTGACCCAAGGCTCAGCCGAAGGTCAGAGCGGAAGGGGGGGATTCTCAGTTGTTGAGCGGGGCTCAAGAATTCCATGAGTCTACTGTGGTCACCATCCCCAGCCCAACCAAAGCTCTGGACCACACACAGAAGAGGAGAAGGGTCATTGGAGCCAAGGAAGAGGAAGAAGGTCCTAGTTCCGACTCTTTCGGACTGGATGCAGTTCTGGCCATGCGCCCGCCAAAATTCAAGGGCGGAAAATCTTCCCTCCACAGCACTTCTGGTGGGGAAGGTGATGATTGTGTAGAGACGAAGGCCGGATTCTTGACGTCTGTGCTGAAGGACGAGGACAAAATCCTATTGTCCTTGCGAAAGACTTTGGCGGAGGTAGGAAATAAGGTCGTTTACTTGTTGACAGTTTCTTAGTATCTGTTGGCCGACTAACCTCGTGTTTTGTATGCAATGGACGAGTTGGACGCTCTCAGTTCCCATCGCTCAATTGTAAAGTTCGTCTCGGGGGCCAACTTTTTAACCTCTATGGAAACAAAGCTTGGCTGCCTGAAAAAGCTTCCTGAGGCCCACGATGAGCAAGTGTTAGAGCTCCAACTGCAGGCCGTGTCCAAATTTGAGGAGGTGGTCAAGCTATAGGGTTTGTTGAAAGAGGCGGAGGAGTCTATGTCCCAGCTCATAAGTTCGATGGCCAGCCTTGAGGAGAAACTCCACCAATCAGATGAGAGGAGGGCCGAGCTGGATATTGAGCTTGTGGAGGCCGTCTCTCATCAGGAGTAAGCTGAGCGCGAGAAGAAGAAAGTCGTGTTTCAGGAATCAAGACGAAATCAAAGCCACTTTACATCAATTAGCCCTAATTCATACGAAATTGAAATCCAAAGACAGATTAAAAATGTTTAGGAGCTGGTGAATTTGGCGATGGCCTTGGTGCCTTTAGAAACAGCGTGCTTGGCCAATTCTCCAGGAAGAACCAATCTCACGGCGGTCTGGATCTTGCAGGAAGTGATGGTGGGCTGAGTCCCTTGCGTTCAAAGAGGTGTTGATGGAAAATTTTCCCAAGTACTTCGATGAATGGGTGAAGACTAAAGTCGGCCTGAAGAAGATTGGGGTTGAGGGGTCGAAATGGTTAGAGGTCGGCATCTACCACGAGATCGAGCTCGTCCTTCAGCGCACTAGGATAGTGGATCCCTCCTTTCCCTAGCCAGGAGTTGATATTACGCAGATGCACGATCCGGATCAGAATGACGAGCTCGGCCCAAACCCGGATTTCATGGGCACCCAGCCGCTGGTCGAAGTTCTTCAAGCTAACTTTGCTCAGACTTCGGATGCTCCTCTGGCCTAGGCTTTATCGAACCTTGCTTCCCTCTATTTAATTTCGACAATTGTGTTGTGCTTTGCCCTTCCATGTAATATTTAAACACTTGTATTGAATTTTGAAATGGGCTCTTTTATCTATGACTGATTTTATGTCTTATTTTATGCCTGCCTTTTGATGGTCTGACCCTTTGGTTTCCCGATAAGTTTTCAGTTGCCAACCACACGATTTGACTGTCATTAATGCCTCTTACCACTTTGACTATTCATTTACCTAGCTTTTCAACCACACCAATTGTTCCTTTACCCGGCTTTTCACCTTCATCACCTATAAATTACTACCCAACTTTGCATTTTCTTCTACGCTTTGCCATTACTTCTCATTTGTTCTGATCAACTCACTTCTTCGTGATGGCTTTCGGTGGTCAAGACGGTGGTGCTTCACTTCCACCCAACCCCAGGGATGGCGGGCCTCCTTCTAACCTTGACGATGGAAAACCATGTAGCCACCCTTGGTGGATTCACCATAGGAACCTGGAGAGGCGCGTTCGATGACACGAACGTATCGTGTATGGTCGCGCAGGTTCCCCTGCGGTGATGCCGGTGCCACCCGCTCGTGTTACGCAGGTGGATTCTGTCGTTATCTCCAAAATAGGAGTTTCATATTTTTATTTTCGAAATAGGACTTCACACTGTGTGGTTGTAAGTACACATTACTATACTTTTTGGTTATGTACATGGCCATGTTTGGTAATGTAAATACATTTTAACTCATATTTTGAAAAATAAAAATATGAAAATTTTATTTTAATACATTTTGAATGTTTAGAGTACCCTTTCTTCTCCAACTATTTATACCATGGCTTTTCCGCACTAGTTATGTTTGGGATCTAATTTTAACAGGAATTTACGTGAAATGAAAATTGGAGAATTTGAGCATTTATCTCTCCACATTGTCACCGTTGGGCTCTTCTTTCTCTCATTATCTTTTCAAAACCCTTTCTTTTCCGCCATTGAAATACATTATTGAGCTCCAACCACGGAATCCTCCCAAATCATGAGAGGGGGAGAGAAACCCTAAGCAAGACTCTTCCCCTCTGCTCTCCTCGCTGCCCGCATTTTCATGTCTTCAGCTGCCTTCCTGGTCTCTTCTCTCTCCTGCATTTGTTTCCCGATTCAGACCCTTCAACGGCGCCGTTTCATCTACGATGCCCTCCGCACTGGCTCTTCTCTGAGACTTTCCTGCTCCAGTATCCGAATATGACTGATCACAAGGTATCATTCAGGAACCTTGGACATTCCTTATTCCTCTATAGCAAATGCTACTTGCATTAGCTTGTGTTTCATTGTTTTAGCTTGTGGGAAATTTCCCCCTTTCTTTGGAACTTATCGAAGTGTAGTGTTTTGTTTGTGTTTTGGTGGTGGGTGATAATTTATTGGGGGCAAAAGAACAGTGGAAATTTATTGTTGTAATTTCTGTGGGAAAGTTAAAAATCTGGAACTATAATACTCCCGCTGTACCTTTTTTAATGTCTAATTTGACTTTACATGGTTTTCAATAAAATTTATATATGTTTATAAGTGAATACTTTCCCAAAAGGTAAAGTGGAATAATTAGATAGACCACAGACGAAAAATGAAATAAAGAAAGTTAATAAAATGGATGTGTAATGGTTTTCAAGTGACATACACTGCCAACAAATTTTATTGCATCCATGCCTCTCAGTCAATGACTGATTCATCTTGAATTTTTCAGGGGATTCATGATATGTAATTTTTTTAATTTTTATATGGGACATCTTTTTCTGTTCTGATTCACAAAAGTTAGCATAGTTAAAGGGTGTATCCTAACTTCAAAAGGCATAAAACTTGCTTGTTCGTTGTCTAGATCATCAACGTTGTTGCATAATTTTGTTTCAATATTCAATTGCATTCAACATCGTTCTATTTCTTATTTTGTTTTATATTTCAATTTGTTGATTTTCAAATCTATCGAATTCTTGCTACTTTGTAATTAGTTAATGAGTTGTTGAGAATGTGATGAAAAGGAGAGAATTGATTCTTAGGATCCACATGTATTTGTCTGGAAAGAAATCATGAGAAGTTGATGACAATTGTATTTGAGTGAAACTACTAATAATAATTGAGGAAACATGAAATTTGGAAGCTACACTATTTCCAGTTGTTATTGCAAGGTACCTTCTGTTCAGTGCTTTCTAGGATTTTTTCATGGGATTCAAGCTGTTTAGTTATTTTGATTTGGGACAACTTTTCTAGCCTAATTCACAAAGCATTAAATTCTGACTCATTTTTGGCTCATCAATATTTGTTTACTGTATATTTGAATATGTGAAGTAAATTATGGAACATAATTTTATGCATTACACTGATATTTTTAAGGCTGGCTCGCTATTTTTGTTTTCCTCATGTTTTTGTCAGGTTGACAAAGCGGGATGTAAATAATAAGAAAGCATATAATAAATTTTGAATTTTAAATTGTACTTAATGGCAAACATTGACCAAGTGATACTCGATTACTGCTTACTCACAACCTAGATTGAATCATCTACCTCTAAACAACAGTTTTCTCTTGCCTATAAATCAGGAAAAGGACACCTGAAAATGTAAGATTTCAAAAACATGATTTTGAAAATCATTTTCAATGTTAACTGGTGAGTATTCTGGTTAAATATTTCCAAAAGTTCCTTTTTCCTATTGGGTGTTACCCTTTTTCATTTTCTATCTAGGAGAGCTGTTAAGACTAGACGTCAATCTACCAACACATCATGATCTCAGTCCTGTGTTTAACTTTTTCTGCAAACTAGAAGTTCCATTTACATTAGTCCTCTCTTCTAGAAAATGAATGTACCTACATCTTAGGTAGGGGGACAAACACTAGCCCTTCTTTATCCCTCTATTTAATATTTGTTTCTTGCCTTTTGGGTCTGCATCTGAGTTCCAATTCAGATACCTCAATAAAGATCCATTCTAATATTAAATTATAGAAATTCCATTAGAACTGATAAGTCAAGAATCAAGATGTGGATATTGTAATCTGCTGCATTGGAATTAACGCAGGCACTGGATGTGATAGCTAATTGTTCTGTTCATTTTATTTAGAAAGCGGGGACATGTACAAACTGTTGTCGCTACTCTCTTTAATAGTTGTAATGTGTGGCTGCCCTCATACCACTTATCAGTTATCAGAAAAGACAGGCAGCTTCTTTAAGTATGTAGTGTGTAAACTGTTCTTAGGTGTCCAATCTAAGAAATCTTGTTCAGTAATGAGGCTACTGTACAGACAGCTTCCCCTTGCTTTTGACCACAAGAGAACAAAAATTAAACCCATGACACTTTCTCTTCGGCTGTACTTTTCAAAGGCACGTTCCATATTGAAAAGGAAAAAGATTTTGCTTTAGTGGTCCAAGACTCCAAATTCCTCTCTTGTAGTTTGACACGGGGACCTAAATGATTATATGATTGGTCTTCAAGAAATAGTTAATAAGCTTTCAATTTCTACTCGATGGGAAAACACTTAAACTTGCTTTCTCAGTTTTGAGGTGTGGATTGAATGAGTATGACAAACTAGTTTATTGCTCCTTCTTTCATCTTCAAAATAAATACTCACATATATCAAACCTTTTTCTCCTGTATCACAACATTGAGTACTTTTCAATGATTGTTTAACAAAATTTATGAAAGATACCTGGATCGTGTCAGCATTACTAATTTAAGTCTTTTTTGTTTACTCATATATATCCTTGCTTTTATCAGCTGTTAATTTTTGGGTCGTTTACTGAAGATGAGATTAAATCATTGCAAAGACACCCAATGAAGAATGACGTGGAGATTACATTTGGTTCGTTGGATCCTGCAACCTTAAGATCTTTGGGCATTTTAAACTCAAATCTAACAAAAGTTGATTCTTCTAAAAGGGGTTTTCCATCAAAGGATTTTAATAAGGAGAATTTAAATTCTCCCAGCAGTGCTGAAAAAGCATCAATATCTGCAATCTTCTTTCAAGAAAATGGAAGTGCTGGTGCAATGGATTGCAATTACCATAAAACTTCCCAAGAAGTCATACCTTGCAATAAATCACATCAGTTGCAATCTGAATGTGCTTCTATTACAGCAAACAACTCAAGTATAAATCAAAATTCCGCTGAGAACTTGACCGAGCTATCAACATCTTTGGATGATATAGAATTGAGTGAGTTATCAAAGGACCTCAAAGTCGGGAATTGTCAAGTAACTGCTATAGAAGCATCAAATGGGTCTGCTAGGATAATTAAATTTTTACAACCTCGAGGCTTAGTAAACTTGGGCAATTTGTGCTTTCTAAATGCCACCCTCCAGGCACTGCTTTCTTGTTCTCCATTTGTTCAACTGTTGCAGGATCTTAGAACTCGTGACATACCAGAGGTACTTTGCATTACATGATTGCTTAAATCCTCATAGTGTATGCAGTGTTGAGCCTTAACTCAAGTTTAACCTTCTATATTGATAGACTGGATATCCAACATTACATGCATTTGTTGAGTTTATATCTGACTTTGATATGCCACTCAAATCAACTGTGATGAGAAAAGAGATGCTTGTTATGGAGACTGGCAAGCCTTTTCGACCTCTGATGTTTGAATCGATTTTGAAAAGTTTCACTCCAGATGTCCCAAATAGCTTGACTTGCAGGCCAAGGTTTGTGGATTATGTAGTATTCAATCCATACTGCCATTTATTTTCTTTTGACTATGTAATTGTCTAGTGCACATCCTGACCTTATTTTCTAATTGTTTGTTTTAGGTCTTAAACATGATATGCTGATGTTAGAGTAAACTCATTCTTTGAATTTAATAATGTGCTACCCTGGAACACTAAAAACTAGGAAAACTAATTTTTAATACATCAGTGTGAAATAAACAAATGGAATAAAGAGAAAACACCAAATTTTGATGTGATTAACACTCAGGCACAGAATAGTAGGATGCTATACCACATACTTGTAAAGATATACTTCCTCCATCCAACTTTAAAGTTCCCACTTTC